ACGGATTCGGGCATGCGAGACGAGTCCGGCGACCGCGCGGATACTGCAATCCGAAAGATTGATGCGTTCGTAAGCGACACGCGGAGCAGAAAATGCTCGATCGATCGCATTGCCGCGACACCGCGAAACATGTTCGACTAAATCACGGTTTCCCATCCCTTTCGACAAGTTATACATATTTCGTCGATCGACCTTATGGCAATTTCGTGTTCATTCATTTACGGGAAAATATCTCTTTGGACAAGAAACCGCAAATTGCAAATCACCGTTTAACGATAGCAGTCGAGAAGACGATGCACCGGACGCACAAAACACGTTGGGGGTGGAAAAGAGATTCGACTGTTCGCAGAAAATAACGTTTAGAAAAATCCTGTTTAACGAGTTAGCAGCGTTTAACGAGTATACTGACCCTGAGGCACCGCTAAAATTGTTATATCACGTTACACGTATACAATACAATGTTATACTTTATTATACAATTTTTATATAATCAAAGACTAACTTCAAAAAATTGTTACAAGCGTAACAGTTGCACGAGTCGCGAGACTCAATTTCATACGCGTAGAATGCACATCGTCGCATGAAATGGAAATGCTGTGAGCCAGAAAAATGATTTCAGAGATTCGCAGTTAAAATGGCTTCGGGTGCAAGGGATTAATTGAATCCATTGTAACTTGTACGACGCGTAAGTTCGCAGATTCTATCACATTTCTTTGCTTTTCTTTTCCGGTAAACCGACGAACAGATGTCTCTCTGTGCAGCCCGTACTAATGGATTCTCGCGTATAACGAACAAACAAATAAATAAATAAATCCGGAAAGCGGATCGATGGGACGCACGCGGTGCACGCAATGCGCGCGGCCGACGCTCGTTAATCGACGCGTCGCGAATAGTTAAATGAAATTGATGGGCCCGCCGAGTCGCAATAATGGGATGCCTGGGACGCGCGAGCTGTTCCGCCCACGCATCGACGCGTCTCTCCCGATGTTTTCCCATCGTTTCGACAGAGCATTTCGAAAATAATATCGGACGCGGCGGAACCGGCGCGGATTCGACGGCGGCGAATCTCGCGGAGTGGTGATCGCCGGCGACTGCGCCGCGGTTTCTCCGCTCGCGTATAATCTTCCGAGCGGGATCGTTCGCGAGCTTGTTCGTTCCCTCCGCCGAAAAAGTTGTTCTGCCGTGTAATCGAATCTGGCGTTCGTTAGCCGAGCTACTCATTAAGCTTCCCGGGGCTTATTAAGCGCGCGCCGAAAATCATTTCCTTCCCGTTCGCGAAATCAAGTGCTCCCGAACGAAGTTAGGCGCTGTTCCGCGCCGGAATCGCGTCGCCGACGACGACGGCGACGTCGGCGACGAGTCGCGAGCTCGCGCATCCCATCGATCCGAAGCGGTGCTGGCTATTTTCTCTGTTTCTGGTGCCGAGCCGCTTCTCTCTCTCTCTCTTTCTCTCTCTCTCTCTCTCTCACTCGCTCGTTCTCTCGCTCTCCTGCTCTCTCCCTGCTCTTTCCCCCCTTCCCCCTAATCGCCTTTGACGAGGAAATTAATTTCGTGTCAGCGAGCGGACACGAGTTATTGCGTTAGACGCGGACCAAGACGTTACATTGTAATCGTTAATTAATCGAGCGCCGAATCGGCACGGCTCTGCGCGCCGCGGCGCGCGGTAAGCCAGTGCATTCTCTCTCTCTCTCTCTCTCTCTCTCTCTCTCCCTCTCGCTTATTTCGAATCGACGACGTCGCAATTACCGCGCGCACTTAGGCGCCGAGAGGAGCGCGTAATTGCGCGCGGATCCCGGGCTTCGAATCTGATAAACGCAGCCGATTTATCCGGTGTACGTAGCGCCCGGTGCCCCCCCCCCCCCCCCCCCCCCCCCGCCCCAA